ACGACTTTCATTACTTTCTCGGCCACATCCCAGTAGTGTGCCTCACCGGTAAGGAACGCTAGGTACTTCATCTCGAGTTGAAGAGTGGTGGCTTCTGCTGTAGAGGACGCACCGCCGTCGGCGTGCGAGGCTTCGCCTTTGGCGTCTCTGAGGATCACACTGGCCCATGGCACACCCGAAGGTGACTCGTACGCGCCCATGAGACGATCAGCCAGGTCGGTGGCTTTCTCCAGGAAAAGATCCTCCTCATTCGAGTTCTCCGGCTTCAGGCCCGGAAGTGTCTCTTGCAAGTAGTGCGCAGACAGCAGACCACCAAGCATGCGTATAGTTGTTTCGAAAGTGTTCACATCCTGCTTCTTGTCGTAATCAAGACTCGTCGAGATCCATTGCCGCGCGTGGGTGAGTTCTTTGGTGAGGTTCATGATCATGAGCGTATCGAGCGCGTCCACGATGATCCAGCCCAGACCGTTGGGCTCGGCCATGTATCGACCCTTCTTCGAGACGGGGTGGTACTCGTCGTAACCCCAGCCATGCTCCTCGTACGCGTTCCAACTCAGTAGGAAGGCGTCCTTGACCGCTTGTCTCCGCTTCTCCCAGTCGACTTTGCTCTTCTTTCCGGCAGCACTTCCGCCTATGTTTGACAACAAGCTCTTGCCCCTGTCCTTCTCGTCTTGTACTGTGCCCACATTTGTGCCACCACTAGACCATCCAAACCAGTAGAACAGCCCCAGCACTACCAGTGCTATCAGCGACATGCCCCTCTTACTCCGCAGGAAGCCTTTCCTGCCCCTCGCACCACCGCCATATCCATAGCTTTTCCCCGAAGGCTTGTCCTTATACATTGGCAAGCCCTTTTCGTTCCCCGGTAGTTTGTTCCAAACATTATCTTCAAACTTTCGTTGCGCGCTCTCGAAATTGGGTACGTTGCGCGGGATGGCGAAGGACATATCTGAGTCCTGGATCGCCTGTTTCGTGGCCTCGACTGCCTGCTTGGTCGATTCGACGGCTTGCGAGGCTTTCTTGTTGGCGGCGTTCTGGAGGACGGCGAAGGCGGAGGGTGTCTTGAATGCTGTTTTGCTGCGGAGGTTGAACGGGTCGCGTGTCGAGTTCATGAGGCGGCGCGACGCGTAGTGCTGATTAAACAATAGACCAGGCGGAGCGAGTGTATTTCACCCTTGCGAAGTCTGATAACTTGACATCTTGCTCCCGACTCCAGTCGACTTGGGAAGCAATGCTCAAAGCGCCCTCTGTCTGACTCGCCAGGTGTTCATTGCTCATCCCCGATGCAGATAGCTTGGCTAGACAGGGGTCCCGCATCTCAGGAAACATCAGCCGCAGCGGAGTTCAACGGGGAAGCTCCACCTTCAAACCTCAGCCTCGATGCGACTCGCAAGCATCGCTCTTCCTTGTGGTACAGATAAGACACGCGTACTCAGGCACAGTATAGCCTCCTTCGGCAACCAAATATATCTCAGCACGATGAGGCATATCAACAGCAGCTGCGATGCGGCAATGTATTTTTCAGAAGTACTCGAGTATTGTTCTTATGATCACCGCCCACCCTGCAGTATTTCTACGATTACCGCGTCTTGTCGTCATTGCTATTTACGCGTTACGTGATGGCTTGCTACACCAAGGACGAAGTGCGCTTCCTATTCTTTGCTCTCTTTTCCTGTCTACCACTACACCGCTGCTTTCGTATCTCTCGCACACCTTCGCCGCCCGTAAATAGGTCAGACTCTACTAGTATCGAGAAACCACAATCGAGACTGCATCTACGGAAGACCAAGACCAAGCGTTGCGATTCTTCCTCTACCATAACCATCTCACCCAGCGAAACGCAATGTCAGGCGCAAGCATGAAGCGCATTCAAATCACACCAGACGGCTCGGGTCCACCTACGAAACTCGACACCGATGTTCCTACCTCTCTACGGGACGCCAAAGAAACCAAGATCCATCCTCAGAATGCCCCAGACGCTTCAACGAATGCCTCCCTCTTCTTCGTTGGAACTGCCACCACAATCCTAGAGTGGGAGGGCATCCGCATCCTCACTGATCCCAACTTCCTACATGCTGGCGATCATGTTCACCTGGGACCAGGCGTTGGTGCGACGAGGCAGACCAATCCCGCCATCGATCTGGAAGAGCTACCGAGAATCGATGTGATCTTGCTGTCGCATTACCATGAAGATCACTTCGACCGAGAAGTAGAGGAGAAACTGTCAAAAGGTCTCCCGATCATCACTACACCACATGCCAAGGAATGCTTGACAGGCAAAGGCGAAGAGTCGTTCAAGAATGTGCATGCGCTCGACTTCTGGAACAGCTTGCTCCTGGACGTATCCCAGTCAGACCAGCCGAACAAAAGCGGTCCGAAGCCTAGCATTAAAGTCACAGGTGTGCCGGGCAAGCATGTACCCCCAGGTCCACTGAATGTCGCGAACGACATCCTCGGCGCGGTACCCCCTACGAATGGCTGGATGGTCGAGCTGGGGTACTCAAACGGTTCTTCTAGCGACGGCAGCGATTTCGAGAACGGATACAGGATCTATATCTCGGGCGACACACTGATGGTGGACGAGCTCAAGGAGATCCCTGAGCGATACAAGGACCAGAACATCGACTTGATGCTGGTCCACTTGGGAGGCACCACGATCCCCGGGCCTAAAATGCCGTTGCTGATGGTCACAATGGATGCCGAGCAGGGTGTACAGCTCATGCAGCTCATCAATCCCGACCTGACGATTCCAATCCATTATGACGATTATGACGTGTTCCTGAGCCCGCTGGACGATTTCAAGAAGGCGGTGCACGCGGCGGGTTTGGATAGCAAGGTCGTGTATCTGGACCGCAAGGATCAGTACAAATTCAACGTGAAGCGAGGGCAGAAGCCGAAGCAATCGCTGTATTAGTAGCCCTATCGGTAGTGACTCTGTAACTAGCTGTTCAGCAAAATTGACCATGATACATGATGATTCTTGGTGCACGTCGGAAACAGGCTGTGGTGTTCGGAATGAAGTTTGACTTTTTTCATTCCTGGTGGTAACCCAGTGTGAAGGGTTCCGTGATGCCATTGAACAAAATTTATCCGTTGAGACGCCGTCCGCCCATGCCTTCGTGCTTCGTGCGCATCGTGCGTTGATGTCCTTGCACACTTCTGTCCTCAGTCCCTCATGCGTTCGATCCGTTTATGCGTGCTTGCCCTTGGGGTTCTTCTTGCCAACGTCGGTGATGGTAAGACCTGCGGTTGTTAGATTCGTGTCATTGGCGCTGAAGTATTTGGGATGTGCGTACCCGGGGGCAGACTCTGCTTGAGCTTCTCGGCCTTGTCGGTGTCCTTAAGAACGAGGGTGTAGACGTTTGTTGAGCATCGGACCTTGAACTTGATGTTGTTGACCTTCTTGTTCTTCTTTATGCGGGCGGCTGCGATAATGTCAGTCCAGTGCTCTCATCATGTTCGCTGCCTCGATCGTCGCAGGTCTCTGCGGCTCGCCTTCATCGTGCACAATCCCTCCTCCTACTGCGACCGCAACTTTCCCCCGGCGGAAATGGTAGACGTACACTTGGCATCCTTGCGCCTGCAGATCTCGATGAACTGCTTGATGTCGGAAACTTCGGAAGGCATCTTGACGATTTGTGTGTGGACGGGTCGTTGGAGTTCGGGATCGTGAAGTTCGGAGACGCCTAGGCACAGGCCAAAAATGCTGTGGACTCGCTTGAAACGCACGGGCTGCGAAGGGGCTGCCCGCAAGCGTTGCTGCTTCGGGCCTGGTGGGGTGACGACGAGTGTGGCGTAAACCAGGAACGCCATGGCTGCGTCGCATGAAACAGTGCTGCCTACAACCCTATAACTGCTGCAATTCTTATCCAAAGTTCATCCCGCTCCTCGTCTCGCTCAGAACCCCTTGGATCTCTCTCCACACACGCACACACGGCCAACTTCCACCCTTCAGCATGCCGACCCCCATCGATCGCGCGGTCCAACAACGTGTAGGTTACTCATGGCTCTCCTGGCATCTACTTTACATAGTGGGCCTTCTCCATGCCACTGCCAACATATGCTAAGGTTACGTAGGGCCCGTTCTTCGCTTTTGCCGCAGTCGTCGCTGGTGTAGCAGCATGGAGCATCTGGGGACAAGATATCTTCCCTAGTCAAGACCCTACTGGCGGTACGTCATTATGAACCTCTTCATTGGCAAAGCATCTCTCAAGTCCAGGTTTGCTGACAATGATTTCAGACCCAGAAACATGGACACATGATCAATGCGTTACCTGGCTCAAGCACGTAAGTTCTCTAAAGCCTCGGTGTGACGAAGGACGCATGATAGCTTTGGCTACCTTCCAGCGATGAGTTGCCTTCTTCACACTGAGGTACAGGCCGTTGGTCTTCTTGATGCTAACGCCGCATCAGAGAAATTTACATCCCTCCCCTGTCGCAACGACTGCTGAGCTACTAGAGCGGATCAAGGCCAATATGAGGGTAGCCAGAGAGAGAACACCGGGGCAATGAGCACGTATAGTGCAAAGAGTCTATCCAACCCAAATAAATTGCAAGCTTAGCCACATACAAGACTTTCAGTATCGAAACCCTTGAGCCGGGTTAAACAGTGACTACGCCTTTCCCCCATGACTCCTGCAGAATACCATGGGTAGTCGCCAGGCTGAGCCATCGTTGACCGATCGCACATCAGATCAACCCCGACTACCTCCAGGCCTCACCATATTTTTCCCTCCATAACTCCTGCAGAACACCTTGGTAGTCGCCTGGCTGAGACGTTGCTCACCGATTGAACGTCATATCAACTCCGAATACCTCCAGGCCTCATCGTATTTCTCGCAAGATAACTCCTGCAGAATACCACGGTAGTCGCCTGGCTGAGCCATGTTCCAATCATCCAGCGCATAAAAAATCTTGACTTCCTCCCCACCTCATCATATCGCATCAACGCCATACTCCTTCCAACACACTTTTGGCCCGTTTCCACACTCCAATCCAAACTAATTGCCATCATCCGCCTTTTTGAAGTCCTGCAGGATCTCAACGCTAGCGTTGTAGTGCTCCGCCTCCTCAGTGTACGCACTCTCTTCTTCCTTCATCTCTCGGTTGAGACGATCCAGCTCCTCAGCCATACGTTGCTTGTATGGGCCCATCTGCTCATCGATTTCTGCCTGCTTCTTAGCGGTCTCCGCACGCCTCTTGCGCATGTCGTCGAGCTTCTTTCGCTGGTCTGCGAGCTGGCGTTCGACGGAGAGCGTCTTAGGTGTTGATGAACGCGGAGCTGTAGGCAGGGTGGAAGGTGGCACAGACGTAGGCGTAGGTAAGGGCTTCGCGCGCTTTGGATCCGGTGTCACACCGTTGGTGGTGGTAGATGAACGTTTGCCTGGTACGACTGCCACGGGGGGCGTATCTGACTTCTTCTGACCGTTGGTAGTGACAGGTGCTGGTTTCGCGGCCTCCTTTGCTGGGGCAAGTGGCGACGGAGGAGGCTGTTTTGTAGTCGCCTTAAGTACGGCTACAGATTTCTCTGCGTGCGCATTTGCGGGCTTGGTGCTTGATTCTGCAAGGCAGGGTACTTTGGCAGTCATATCGGCCGTCGGTACAGAAGGCGCGGCGGCGATCTTTTCTGTAACTTTCTCACCACCGCTACCGGTATGAGAGGTAGACGTGCTGTTATCAGTATCTCCATTGGTAATCTGCGCTTGTGCTCCAGGAGATACCATCGTAGTTGCTTCGGGGGTCTTTGATTTGGGTCCAGGTTTCTTCTTAATGGGGCTGGAGATCTATAGGTAGGTGTTAGAAGTAGGCAACAGTCAGGCTGAGTCAGGAGTCAAGGTGTTCCAAAGATGGGGGCGGTGGGGAAGGTAAAGTTATGGAAACCTTTCTCTCACCTTTGGGGCTGACTGTGCGCTTTTCGCTGGCGTGGTGGGAAGCATTGGCGATTCGGATCGTGACGAGGCATCTCCGTCATTCTTCGATAAGGGGTTTGCGCCTACGGTAAGAGGAGGAAGAGGTTCCAGCACTAGAGTATGTGCTTCGCCTATATCTTTGTCGTCAGGGTCAAAACTCATTGACATGTTCTCCTCGAGAATTTCAGCTAAGACATCACGTCAGCCTGACAGCCAAAATCCAGTCTAGCAACCTAACCTTCCGTTCGATAGTGGAATCGAAATATAGCCCATGGCTCTGTACCTGGGCGTTTTGCATCCGCCCTACGCTGATAGATTTTCGGTTGATTATCCTCCAGTGGAGTAGTGTCCTTCTCGAAGGACATCCTGAAAATGGGAGCTATGCGGTTGTAGCCAACTTTCTGCTCGGTGCCGCCCGTATCCCTGTCTTTCATATCACTTCCATGGGTGTAGTACTTCTTTACTTTGCCAATTTCGTGCCAGTCTCCCAGTTGGCGGGTGATGTACAGTCGCAGCTCGATGGTTCCGATGGTCTCTGGGGCGTCGTCTTGAATCGTAACAGCGTGCTCGAGTGGAGCCACCGTAATGTCAGTATCGATGATGCCTTTGCTGGTCTTGCATAGAAAGGTTTCGGTGTCCAGTTTCCGGTTGTGTAGGATCACTGACTTAGCCACATGCGAGCCGGCTTTACGGAGTATCCCGTCCACGAACGTGTCGTAGGCTACAGCCAGAGTCTTTGGTTTCGTTAGAAAGTTCTTATGTGTTTATGTAAGTGATAGTTACCTTGCCGGAGAACCTGCCGCCCACTTTAGGCTGATGGCCCTCATCGATGGGTACATAGCAGCAAATCGCGTTGTCTCTTGGGTCCACATACTCTCCGTATTCTTCAAGCGCCTGAACTTGACCCTTGACAAAAATGTTGACTTGGGCCTTTCTGTCGGTGTCCTTCTCAATCACTCTCATATTTGAGAAGGTTGTTGTAAGATGTGGATTTAAAGTGGTTGAGACGTTTTTGGTGAAGAGGCGGTGATTTCCCTCGCGTGAGCCCAGAGTAAATCGGTGATCAATGCGAAGGGGCTGCTCAATCGAGTAGTGCGGGGGTCGTTATCGTACTATATCTGACGCGAGCTAGTTGAGTGCATTCGTGTGAATTGGCAGAAGACGTGTCTGTGCGGCAAACTGGATCGATGCTCGCCGACAGAGTCTCATATGAGTAGTACTGACAGCGCGGAAGGTCGAGGATACCTGGCGGTATGCGCCCTTTCGCCGCTGCCTGACGCGCTTTGGAGCTTCGGTTGTCGTGTGTTCTTTGTGGATCACCAATGATACTATGATACCGGAGATGTGAGCGCGATATGATGTCGAAGATAGTAGACGATATGTGAGATGGGAAGAAGTGAACAGGGAGAAAGAGGGCTCGTCTTATAGACTAGGAGACCTGACGAAGCCGGCAGAACAGTGATGTGAAGGTGAAGGTGGTCAGGTGGGTAACACATGCTAGAGAAACGCTGCAATGCCAGAGGCTGCCACGTCTACCAAAGCTCAAGTGAGAGTCACTCCGAGAGCGCTCATATACCCAATTAAATAAGACATACCGCACTTAGACTGCTTTGCGGACCAGCACACCTTCAAGGGCTCACATGCTATATAGGTTGCTGGAGCGACCACACATGATGCTCTCCTCTGCTCTCATGGTGAGCTCCCATAGCCGACTGAAATTTCCTCATTCAAGACATGATAGTTCTGCCAACCCTTTGGCATGATATGACTAGGGCATTTGGCACGCTGGGAGAAGATGAAGTCCACGGAGCAATTGCTCGCTGCTGGGTCGATAATAAAGATCTACTGATCCGTTGAACATGAGCTCCTCCATGGCTGTTTATCAGATGAATTCTGCTATAGGATGAGACCTTGTGCTATGCGAGCCCGTGCGATCACATGCAAATGGAGTCGTGATGAAATAGGCAGGCGCGGTGAGTGTGAAAACGGAAAGAATCATCCGGAGAAGAAAAGCTGCGAAAACGAGAAGAAACAATGATTGGGACGAGTGAAAGACATCGTTGCCCTGCGTCGGAGATAATAAAGAGAGCGAGCCGCGGCGGAAGGACGGATGTGGTCATTCGCCAAGCGCGGTTTCTTCCTTCGGTTCGGATGCATTTTCGGGGGACGGCAGCTTCAGCTTGTTTCTCTCAACCTCAAATCCCTCACCACCAGCCCAACGCCGCAACTCCACCATGTTGTCGAGGACCTCTCAAAGAACAGCGCAGGTAAGAGCAAGACTATGCGCCCGCAATTGGCGGGCGCGGTGGAAATCCGAGTGCTAATGCGCCTGTGCAGACGCTCCTGCGGGGCGCGAAGCCTGCCTCTCGATGGGCACCCGCCATGGCTACCCGCTGTACGAAGACCACGTGAAAGATATTCAGAATGCAGAGACTAACGCGGCGACAGCAATGGCTACGGTCACCCAAGACATCTTCAAGCCCACTAAGTTCGGCGGCAAATACACCGTTACCCTGATCCCTGGTATGCGCGATAGCCGCCTATAATTGGACATAGATTCTGAACATGCGCAGGTGACGGTATCGGTGCTGAGGTCTCCGAGTCGGTCAAGGAGATCTTCAAGGCGGACAACGTTCCCATTGAGTGGGAGCAGGTCGACGTCTCCGGTGTCGACTCTGGCAACGTCCACTCCGAGGAGCTCCTCCGCGAATCCATTGCCTCGCTCAAGCGCAACAAGCTCGGTCTCAAGGGTATCCTCCACACGCCCGTCGAGCGCTCCGGTCACCGTTCCTTCAACGTTGCTCTCCGTCAAGAGCTCGACATCTACGCCTCCATCGTCCTCCTCAAGAACATCCCCGGTTACGAGACGCGCCACAAGGACATCGACTTCTGCATCATCCGTGAGAACACCGAGGGTGAATACTCTGGTCTCGAGCACCAGTCGGTCAACGGCGTCGTCGAGTCGCTCAAGATCATCACCCGTGAGAAGTCGGAGCGCATCGCCAAGTTTGCGTTCGCCTTTGCGCTCGCCAACAACCGCAAGAAGGTTACCTGCATCCACAAGGCCAATATCATGAAGCTTGCCGATGGTCTGTTCCGCAACACCGTCAAGAGGGTTGGTGAGGACTACCCCACTCTCGAGACCAACGACATGATTGTCGACAACGCCTCCATGCAGTGTGTCTCAAGGCCCCAGCAATTCGACGTCATGGTCATGCCCAACTTGTACGGAGGTATCCTTTCCAACATTGGTGCTGGTCTCGTTGGTGGTCCTGGTATCGTCCCCGGTTGCAACATGGGCCGCAACGTCGCCGTTTTCGAGCCTGGATGCCGTCACGTCGGTCTCGACATCAAGGGCAAGGACCAGGCCAACCCCACTGCTCTGATCCTGTCCGCCGCCATGATGCTCCGTCACATTGGTCTCGATGACCACGCCAACCGCATCTCGCAGTCCGTCTACAAGGTTATTGCTGACGGGTAAGTTCGAATTCCGAATGAAGAGCAACACATGACTAACATCATCTAGTACCGCTCGCACACGCGACATGGGAGGCAACACCACCACCCACGAGTTCACCCGCGCAGTTCTGAACCAGATGGAGAAGGCATGATTTAGCCGTCATGATCTTCGTGTTTGCTAAGCTTTGATCTAGCGCGATGATACCGTCACATCTAGGCCTCGGCTCACATTGGGTTAACCTAGGATATGGAGCAATAACATATTTTCTTAACGATTGGACGCAATGGCACTTGTACAACTACCAGCTGGAATGTGAATAGAGCTGTACTTGTAGGTGGTATATAGCATGCTGCATGATTGAATTGACCATTCTTATACCCTCGTGAAAATGCCAGACCCAGAACTCCGTGCTATGCGTAACATCGTCATCGTGATGTGGGTATATCTAGAATTGGATCCTCCTCTTCCTGCCAGTGTACTTGGACGAGGCCTTGACAACCTTGCCTTGTCTCTCCATCTGCTCCTTCTTCTTCATGATGTACGCCTTGCTGCCCTTGCGTTCCTCGCCCCTCTTCATGCCCTTGGCCTTTCTCCGTGCATCCTCGACATCAACGCCGTCCATGCCCCTCACAACGCCTGTGATGTCGCCATCTAACGCTCCACCGCCCACAGTTAGAACAAGATACGTCTTCGCGCTCTTCGTTCCCATGTCGTCCTCTAGAAGACCTGCACCAAAACCAGCTTTGATCGCCGCCTGCGCCACCATCTTCTTCTGCGCGTCGTTCTTAGGATAAAACTGACAAACCGCTCTCCCTCCCCTCTTCAAACTCGCATAAAGCTGATTGAAGAACCTCGATAACCTGCCCGCAGGACTCTCCTCGCTCGTCTCGGCATTGCACAACCATTGGACCGCACTGATACTGATTGCCGCATCGAAAGTTCCCGGCCTGAATGGCACACCCTGCCCCGCATCCGCCAGCAGCAAATCTCCCTCGACCTCTTTCTCCAGCGCAACGCCCAGCATCGATGCGCTGATGTCGAAACCAATCCATACGTGTGGGCCGCCGGGTGTGCCTTGTTCAGCCGAGTGCGACAGGATCTCGCCGCTGAGACCGGAACCGCAGCCGACGTCGAGGATCATGGATGGCGATGTGAGCGCGAGGAGGGAGAGGGCGCGGTGGGTCATTGTCGATTGGATCTTTTGGATACGGGACGAGGTGGTGTATTTCCGCGATTCGGAATCATTGTAGAAGAGGTCGGGCGGTCTGTAGATGTGTAAGCGCTGTGTTCTTCGTTATGCGATTTGCGCTGTTGGGAGGATTGTGTACAGGATGTCTTCGGGGCGCGACATGGTTGCGGTTGTTAACTCTGAGTCGCTGGACACTTGATTGTAGTACTCTTCTTATCGCGTGGAAATATGGAACTTGTTTGCGCAGTGACTGTCGAAAGCGAGCGTGGGCTGTCAGTTGCTCGGTGTACCTTCAGCCAAGAGTTCGCACGACTTTTTGGAGTTGCACCCCACACTCTGGCGCGGGTCCACGGGTTTCTCCGCTAGCCTTGATGCCACCTTTGGACTGACCTCATCGTGCCGCGGCCAAACTTCCAGCCTTCAACACTTCATCTCTCTTCGCTTTCACTTGAAGTGTGTCAAAAGTCAACATGTGGATATTACCGCTGCTTGGATATGTCGGCGTTATCCTGGGCTTCGCGTTCCTGACGCTTGCAATAGGTACTTTGCTGTGATGCTCGGTCTTTGGCTTCATGGGGCTAACGCAACGTAGCTTCCGGCCTGTACTACCTTTCTGAACTCGTGGAAGAGCATACCGTCTTCGCGAAGAAACTGCTCTACCGCCTCATTTATGGCGTCGTTGGCATACAAACACTCCTTCTCGTAGTCGATAGGTTTCCAATCGGGCTCAGCGCATTGAGTGTCGGGTCGCATTTCATCTATGCGCAGAACCTAAGGCGATTCCCTATCGTCAAGCTCACGGATCCACTCTTCTTGGCTTCTTGTGGTATGCTATGATACTTGGACGTCTCTGCCGGCGCAATGCTGACCATCATTTCCAGCCCTTGTAATCGCGAATCACTACCTGTGGTTCCGCCACTTTAGTGCTCCGCCGGCGAACTCGTACTCCTCGTATCCCTACTCCCGCGATGCCAACATCCCCACCTTCACCGAAATCGCATCCTACTTCGGCCTCTGCGTGTGGCTCGTCCCCTTCGCTTTATTCGTCTCCTTGTCCGCCGGCGAGAATGTCCTTCCTTCGATGGGCTCGGAGTACGCGACCGGAGACGGTAGCAGCTACATCACACCAGGAACAGCACCAGCATCATTCGGAACCGGAACAGGCATTGGTGTCGGTGGAGCCAGTAGTGGCATGGAGGGAAAGAGGAGGGCGAGAAGTGGAACAAACGCTGGCATGGCAAAGGCTGTTGTCACTGGCGTCAGAGAGTGGGTTGGAGAGACAGGAGAGGTTATGGGGTTGTGGAAGGGTGAGAGGACGAGACCGACATTCTAAGAGCTGGGTCTCTATGGGATATGATTGTACGAGTAATGTGGATGCTACTTGCGAAAGATCGTTGCGGATTGGTCGGTTTGCTACGTGCCTGCACTTGTGTCTTTTCACCTTGAGGAAACTGCGCCATTGTCGTGAAAAGCGCCAAATGGTATAGCGCACGCGACCTCCAAACCCACAGGCCTTCACTTTGTCTCACCCCACTTCCCACCTCCACTGCCACAAGACACTTTTGGGGATCTCTGATTTACTACTCCTACAACTTCATTCGCAATGGACGACGTACACTCCTCACGCATATACAAGATGCTTCCGGTGCCCCAGGCGCCAATGCTGCACCGCGAGACTGCGTCTATTCAGCCAGAGAAGATCGATATGCGCAGCGCCCGCAATCTCTTGTGCAAGGTCTTCAAGAAACCCTACGCCCATCCACCTACCGTGAAGAAGTTGCAGGCCAAGTGAGTGATAGTTTGTTCAGAGAACTGGTTGCAGCGACTAACTTTAGTACCTAGTCATGTTCAATTCCTACTTGAGACGCCTATCGGCCGCGACTTCAATCTCATCACCGCCGCTGGTGTGGAGTTCAAAGTACATTCTGTCATGTTGATTGGCGGCCCGAAGGCATTACAGGAGGGACTGTTCCCTGGCGGTGTAAGCTTTCCCTTCCTTACATTTGCTATGATCGAGACTAACACGGCCAGGCAACAATCCCAAACCCACCTGAGTTCGTCAACCTGCCGCCTCACTTCCATCCTATCCTCATTGACCGTATCGTCAACTTCAGTACGTCTCACTCATGTCTAACGTTTTTGAGCCCTCAACTAACTACGACGTTCCTATAGTCTACACATCGGACTACCTGGTCGTCCGGGACGGTAGCAAGCAGCTCGTTCAGAAGAACTTCAAGTTCTATCACGCAACTGTTATTCCAGATGTCAACCCGCCTACCGCCGCTACCACCGCTCTAGTCGACATCCATGATTACACGTTCCATCTCCACATGTACGCTCTGGCTGAAGAGCTAGACTACGACGCGCTCAAATCAGCCGCCCACACCAAGCTCGTCCAACTCTTCATCATCGTGCGCAACGAAACTCCCTCCTCGATCAAAGACGCCATCAACGCCACCTTTGCCCCACTAGGTAGCCCGTCGCGTATCTGCAAAGACGAAGACGGCACAATGCAACAACTCGTCGTATCGGCTGTCCTCGCCCACGAGTTCAAGACATGGACCGAAGCAGATCAAAAAGCCTTCAACGACGACATCCAAGGTCCTGAGTACTCCGACTTCCGCAACGCCTACAACATGGTCAAGGGCGCGAACCAGGATCTGATTGAGATTGGAGATACTGCTAGGTCATTGGCAGCGGAGCGCAAGGCGGGTATGGAGCGTAGGAGGGCAGCTAAGAAAGCTGGCGTCGGCAACGTGGACCAGATTAAGCTCATAGTGGGAAGCGGCTCGCCTTTGAGTGTGTTGAGCGCGCGACCTGCAAATATGAAGGACAAGTTCAAGAGGCGTGTAGAGAAGCGGGGTGTTAGTTCGGTTGCAAAGGTCGATGGAGATGAAGATATGGATATGGAGGTTGACTAGATTGCTTGTCGCATGGCGATGGGGTTACGCATTTTCGGATGGAGCTTTTACCTCATTTGAGGGGAACAGTTGAATACCCTGAAATCTGCGTTGACGTTAGGTCGTAGACTTTGCATTTTATTATCTTGATGTAGGCTGCAGGCCTTGTTAGGCCCTTCTTTGTAGGAGGTGCTTTCCCGGTTTAACTTGCTGAGATGGCATCAAAATAGTACTTGGTTCATTTGCCGAATGCGCCGAACTTCTGCTTTTGTTCGTGCGTAGGTGTTTATTATCTAGGCAAGGGGCAAGTGAGAGGTGCACTTGCTTGGTGAGAGAACTTGAAGCGGAGGCGCTCGCTTCCGACTTCCGCCCGAACGCCTACATCATCTTTTCCGGTCCTTACACATCCCCCCGCCAACGACGAATAATTCCAACCAGCCAATCACCTCATTTTTTTACATTGATCGAGCATCACTAGCCTTTCATCGGTCGTTCCTATTTTTGCGAAACCAAGCCGCGCTTCGGTGCCGGCTGTCATGGCTTGCAACAGTTGGGAGAAGCTGTGTAAGGCTCAGCGCGACTACCCAAAAGCGAAGTTCGCAGACTCGTTCGTACAAAAGTCGCTCAAGAAGACGCCCAAGAACCCATTTCTCTTGGTATGCTAGTCGACCTCGGAAATTTCATTTTCAGGCTAATTTTGAGCAGGCATGGAAAGCTCGGTTATGTCTTACATTGAACAATGTGGACGCCGATGTAGCAAATCTGGTACAACAGGCCTGGGAACAGCCAGGGGTGAACGATATTCGGCTGCTGTCCTACTTATATAAGATCTTAGCCGACGCTACGCGGAAAGATCAGGACAATAACCTAAACATCAGCGGAGTGGGCGACGGAAACCTCAAAGTTTGGCAACGTGCTGCGAAAGCCTTGGGACGCAAGGAAGACCGTCAAGATCTCTGGTCTGCTCTAGCTAATGTGGCATTGGCAGAGGAATGCTGGGAGGACTTCCGCCTGGTACGTAAGAACCCGGCATCTGGCCACGACCTGGTTGTATCTCGACACCTTTGGAAATGCGCACCTCCCCGCGCCTTCTCGCTACCACATAGAACTACAACAGGGTGAGATTAGATTTGGTACTAACGCTTGACAGGCTGTCTTTCACTACAGCAAAGAAACCAAGGAAGGCGCCGGATTAACATCTGCAAAAAAGCATGCTCACTTCACGCAAACACTCGCTATTCAACTCGCAGCTGAACAGCAGTGTGGACTTCCCCAGGGCGAGATGAAAAGCAAACTTCAATTCGACCTGGCTCGTAGACTTTTGAAACAAGCATACGAGGCCGCTCCAGATGACCCCATCGCTTTCAAGGATATACGCGACTTGCGTTTTATGGGCGAGATCTTCGCGCGGCAAGCGAAGTGTAGCGAGCTGTTCGAACACTGGAACCACCCGCCTGCAGCCCTCCAGGACCTTATGACGAAACATCGGGGTGACTTGTGGGGCATGAAGATTAGACTTGCACGGCAGAGTAAAGAATGGTCTCTACTTGAAAGCCAGTGTCTTGCGTACATTGAGCGCATTATATCACAGCAGGAAAGGTATGTTGAATCAGCGGCGAAGTGTAACATTGTGAAGTGGCTGCGGGTTGCTGCAGCGACTTCCAAACCCTACTTATTGCTGACGTTCTCAGCCTTCGAGAGACTTGTGCCTGGAAGAAAGATATTTGGACATCCTTATTAGCCACCGCGTACGCAACACGCTCCGCTGACGATGCTGTTCGCCTGATCTCCGATATCACAAGTCGTACTTTCAACCCGGAGGAGTTCCAAAGCCAAGACCGCCCCTTGAGACTTGCGTACATGACACTTCGCCAGAATGTCGCTTCAGGAACTCCAATGCTGACCGACTGTAAGACGTACTGGAAGAACCACGCGAACCTTATCACATGTTACGCAGATATTCGACCCTTCCTAGATGGGATGACCCCAGAGGATCGAGGAGATCTCTGGGATTTTGCGCAAACTCACTGGGAAGACGCGAGGAAGTTAATGGCACAGAATCAGTACCCAGCTCAAGACTGGGTTGTTCATTGCGGTAATCGTCTGAAGTTGGGTTATCTTTTCTGGATATCACTGTCGACACCATCTGCTCAAAGATGGCAAGGGCTCATGGAGGTACCTTTGGTCGCCGCATTGCGAGCTCCTCAGTTACAGTCACCCAGGTCGCCTGAAGGTTTTGTCGCGATATACACACTTCTCTGGATGCACCATGAAGCTATGCGCAACGAAGAGCCCGATCATCCCTTCGGAAATACGCCAAATTCACGAGTTCTCCTTCAAGCTGCAATGTTGGCGCGCCATTTGGTGGCGAGCGACAAGGAAAAGCAAAACAGACCGCTAGCACTACTTGCTGCACGGCTACATCTGAACCTCGGTCTAGGAAAATCCGCTTTCCAGTTGTACGGCCACACCAAATGCAAGGAGATGCTAGTGCATACTTTGTCACCATATGTTCTGTCACGCATCTCACTGACACATCCATTTGGTGCCAAAGGCTACCAAGGATTCTCAGCCGAAGAGGAACTAGGAAAAGCTGTCGGGACAATGGAGAGAATGGAACGCAAGCTTAATGAGGCAGTATGTTCTGATCTCCAGTCGCTTCCATGGGATCAAGCTATGGAACTATTGGCCGCGAAACGGGACTTCAAGTCGAGCTTGACAAAGCACATATGCAATACAGAGAGCCGTCGTATAGCACGACTCAAGGGTGAACCGATCGATAACATTCCCGTTATTGACTCAAGTAGTATGTTGCACTCATTTCCAACTTGGAAACTGGCTAATCCATGCAGGCTACCGGAATATCAAGGACGTCGTGGATAGAACCATATTCCCCAACTACGAGCACAGTCAGCATCCTGGACCACTTTCATACATCATGCCCAACGGCCTTCCGGAAGTTCATTGGCTGGCCAAGAGCCTTGATATCTGGGACGCTAGCAGTAGATATCTCTATAGAGAGACACAGGTGTTGGAGTACCAGGGCAAATGGATACACCAAGTTGCCATGCCTCCGGATCATGCCTGGGAAACTGAGCCTGACATGACGCTTGCCGAATACCAAGTTGAGGACGCATGGGTGGGAATCAATCTCATCGTTAAGACGATGAACTTGCTAGGATTTTCTTTCGAAAAGCTTCCTGGAGCGCTGGAAGCACTTCTGGAAATGGTTTCCACGATGCGACTTGCAATGGAGAAACTGCGTATGCCTGGCGCCACGCACCAAAAACCCGAAGATGAACCCACCATGTTCCACGAGAACATGCTGATGTCCTGCTATACCAAGTTCGAGGTCCTGCGCGCACTCATCAAGTTGATCGAACACCTACGCGAGAAGGTCATCAATGCGAAGACCCACCGCATGAAGGCCAAGTTACCAAAGAGCTGGGTCAATGACATGGAAACTGAGACGAAGAATTGTTTCGAGGCGATACGAGATGTGGCGCATAGCTACATCAATCTTATCGAACAGAGAGGACGTGCTGCGATTAAGGCGCAGGTCCGGTGGGGCAAGACGGGCGAGGCATTGAAGCATGTGCTGAGTGACGACGATGTTGACTTCTACGCAACTGAATATGTGGATAGCGCACTACAGGCATGGAAGGGTGTTCTACAGGTTAAACTCAAGTAGAAGGAGCAAATACATCTCCCTATTGGTCCCGCATGCCGGCCTTTTCAGGCACACCAACATAGGAAAAAACTGAACACCGTGGAGTCTACGTTAACGTTGGGTTACCTACTTTGCAAGTTTCTGTCTTGATGTAGTCTGCAGACTTGTTTAGTTTTTTTCTTGCATAGGGTGCAGGCCACGTTCTGCGAGGATATCCTAGCTCAATTATCAGACTAATACTTTCCTCCACTTGCCTGCGCAGAAATTGTAGCAATGAATGGCGACTAATATATCTCAGTGAGATGTTAGATATGACTGAACAGCCGGGCTTGCGGCTGAGCTGTGTCGCATTGAGATTGCTGTATTTTACGTTGCTCTTGACTGAATACTGCTGCTTTCCTGCACTTCACAGCTAAATGAGGGAGGACACACTGCGCATCCTCGCACCTTCACGCTCAATTCTGAGCAGCGACTGTCACTTACAATACTCCTTCCAATCTACGTCAGATCCAGGTGCTAGCGTTGATCATTTAAAATGCAGCTCACCTCGTGAACCCTCCAGGCTCCCGTGTGCAAACGCAAACGCTGTATCCCCATAACCCAACTCACTCGCGTTCACCTCATTTTTAGCTCCGCCATCGTTACTCTTCCGCTATTCACCGAGGATTGCTTCGGAGTTTCACTATCGCCGCCGACTTGGCTTTTCGTTTTACTCAACTTCGTTGCACTCCCGTCGCTTGCTTCCGCAGATCCCTCGCTGTCAACACCACGCAACCTCTTCGCCATGGCCTACCCTACGGGAAAGATACCCTGGACGAAATCGTCGTCGGGAAGCGGTTCTGGCTCTGGCGCTCAGTCAGTAGATCACACCGACGCCGAGCTAGGTGAACGTATGGACTCCGACCCGGCGTCCTCGTCGTCAGATTACGGTTCTACCTTTGGCGACCATCCAGATCAGCACCCTGCGGTCCCGCTCCCTGAAGACTCAGACTGCTACCTGACGTCCTCGTTGCCAAGTCACGCTTCTGGTCTCAGTGCCCTACCGTCCTCATCGTCAAGTCAGGGTCTTGGTTCTGGCGATCAACCAGATGGACGCAACAAGAACGCGCTTCCTGAACGTACAGATTCACTCGCAGATCCTAACGGCCCACTGAACACAGCGACGGACGCACCAAACACGCGAGACTTTTCTACCCAGACCCCGGATACACCTTCGCACGGAGACAGGTATGAGGACCTTGATTACCCTGTCGATGGAACTGGAGCAAGTTACAATTGTTCTGGATCAAAGCTGACAGAGAAACTCCCTGGTAGTGTTTCTCACGCACGAGCTGAAGCACAGCGTCGACTACAGCGGGGTGAGAACCAGCGGAGTGACCCTAACGTCCCACTGAGGATAGGGACGGACTTATCAAAAATGTCCGAGGACGAGAGAATGAAATGGGCTATCGAAGTTTCCGACCCCAATCGCAAACCCAAACCCAAGTCCGGACCCGTCAGGCCCAAACCCAACAGCCACTACGTATCTCCCGAAACGTTTCGAACAGTGATGTACGATCTCACCAAGGATCCAAACCTGAGACCCAAGGGACGTTCGAGCGGCAAGTGGCGCTGTTGCAAATGTCACCGCAGCCACAAGGTCTACACTCAACCACACATCCATCCACTCTACACTCTGAGCTGCGAATGCACCCACCGACCTTGTGCTAAGTGCAAACTGGAGAGTGTCGTGATCAAACAGTTCCAACCGATGAACGATCCGGAAGTGGTTCACTTGTGTGAGGACTTAGCCCAGCCTGCTATACGATTCGGCGTCATCTGCGAAGGCTGTGGTGTATCATGGCGCGCAAGGAGAGTCCCAGTCGTGGTCAAGAAGATACCGAAGAAGTCGGTTCTACAACGTGTGTCTAGTCTCACCAGGTCCCTAAACAAGCGCGGTAGTGGTGATCGTGCACCCACTTTGAAGGACCTGCGATCTAGTCGGTCGATGAGCAACCTCCACGATCCTACTCAGTCACGTGCGCCGCCGGCCGCTTCCAGGTCCAGCCTCGACCTCCACGCCCTTCGAAAGGAGATGAAAAAAGAGCATGGAGTACAAGCTGAGCCGGTTCCTGTCAAGTTCATGGGCATCAAGTGTACCTGTAGTATGACTACTGCGGACACTTCGCTCTGTTTCCAGGGTAAAGTAGCCGCCACGAGTAGCTCTCAAGATATTTTGCTAACTTATCACTAGTATGTAGCTCCCTTGCTATGCTTTGCCAACGCGGTTTTGAGGCATCTTATTCTTCGTGCTAACAGCTGGATAGATCATTGACAAGCCGAAGGACCACAACCAGACCCAGTTGGCGGAGCAGGTGGCCGCGCGCAAACCGGCTGGCTTTGGCAGTACACCGGAAGACATTGCGAGAGGTCATGGTACCCCGACCTTGACGTTGAGGGGAAAACAGCACGAAAACCCGCTCATGAGCAACCTTGTCGCCTAGAAGAACGACAGCAAGAAGTTTCTCCACGACCTCCTGCCAAAACGTCGGAGGTGAGACCGGTCAGAGTAAGACCTTGGATGGGGAGCTGGGGTAAAGTAGCCGCCACGAACAGCTCTCGAGGTATTTTGCTAACTTCTCACTAGTATGTATCCTCCTTGCTACGCTTTGGCCAAGGCGATTTCGAGACATCTCCATCTTCGTTTCTTGGATGTTTCGGTCAGACGCTTGGAGATTGGCATGTTTATTTCTTTCTTGTTTTGGAGGTCTACCACATGGTTGGCAATGCGTCGCTGGAAATCGTAGGCAGCCGTGGTTTGACTGTTCATATGGGCTTTTGAGTCTGTCGATCGTTGTCAGTCAGCATTCCGCAGGCTAGGCGATAATCAGGCCCTTTTTGACTCCATGGTTGATCCCGATGTTGCACCTGTGACTGCATCGCCACACCGGGTTCCTCTTATGACCGGGGCGTCTCTTAACGCGGGCGTCAAGGCCTGATCAACATTCTTTATGTGGGGTAAGTGATACTCGGTGTGATTAACGTGCTCCAGCCTCTTCGCGCCCTCATGTGAGCTTCAGCCTTAGCTGTGACTGTCATCTACTCATCGCGATAGCTTTGTCGGCCAAATCCGTGACCTCGTACACCAATACCAACATCACCGGATCACTCACCAAATAGACTAGTATGTAGTTGTGTAATTAACATAACAATTTCGCGTGGTCCGGGTACTGCCTTCAATGGCAGCCTCGGAGACAGCCTTGCCGTAAGCGCCACGGGTACCTAGGTACAAAGAGAACGAACAAGACACCAGCGGCACAGCCCTGGTACCGACCCAATGTATGAGCAATATCCTAGACTCAAGGAGTCGGTGTGTGAGCAATCGCGCGCGTGCGGTGAATAACATGAATTACCGCCATGCGAACCGTCAGCCGCCGTGTTGTGGCTGTGCCTCAGGCTGTGGATCCATCTAGGCGCCAAACATCCAGGCAGCGTCAATGAAGCGCAAATAAAGAGGACAAAGCTATGCGCATTGTGAAGTACCTGCCCCATCATTCCAGTCAGAGTTTCGTATCACAAACAACATCTGAGTCGATTGCGTTGCCAACAGCATCCGTGTGCGATTCCGTTTGCATCGTTCCACAACTGCCCCGAGACCCCAGACAAACCAGAGTCAAGGGTCCACGCTATGACATTGGCCCGGTATGACTAGACCCCACCAAGAACCATAAGAACCACAGAACTGACTTGCATTTCCAGCTTCCACACTTTCCATCAGCCTTCTTCATACACCCCTACAGCCCGAGCAGCTACTTTCCCTACCAATTCAGGAGTTTTCGCCGCCAAAAACCGACTGCAGCAGTTGACAAGCCATTTAACGAAGAGCTCAACCATGTCCAAGATGCCCGAGAAGTCCCAAGATAAGAACGAGACTACCAACAGCGAGTCGACTGAGGAAAACAAGCCTAAAGCGGCCAAGTCGTTCTTCATAATAAAAAGAGAGGATATTGGAAATGCCCAACTTGAACCGCTTCTCTCGAAGCCATTGCCAGTACGACACGAAAATTGGGTGCACTCTACCCCTAAGCTCTCGACTGAAGGTTTTAATGCCGTGGATCCGCCTCCATACCGAGAATTCAACGTCTTTACCGCTGGTAGTATAGAGATGGGTAACGCGGTCAATTGGCAGCCGCTCATGGCAGATCTACTTCGGGACTTACCCATCTGCGTGTGCGATCCACGACGACCAAACAATGATTGGAACCCAGCCATGGCTCGCGTTCCCGATAAAAATGGACTTACAGGAATGCAAGCACAAATCGATTGGGAACTGGACGCGCAAGACCGAGTAACCGTCATTTGCTTCTTCTTCGATGTCGACACCAACAGCCCAGTCTCTCTGCTCGAGTTGGGTCTGTTCGCTAAATCCGATAAGGTGGTGGTTTGCTGTGACGACCGGTACCATAAATGGGACAACGTTAAGGCAACATGTGAGAGATATGGGATCCCGTATGCCAAGACGTTTGAAGAGTTTGTGCCAATGGTCAGAAAGAAGTTGGAGGAGAAGGGCGTGCCAATGCCAACGACGACTTGATCGGAGATAACATTCATGTGCCCAAGCCGAAGGCGAAAGCCGCAGCTTGAGGCGGACAATGCTGCGTTGCAGAAGCAGGCCGATGAGCTCAAGACGATGCTGGCGACACAGTCGAAGATGTGATCAAAGTGAGCTGCATGGGCTCTGGTTTGACTGGCGTTGGTGGGGTTTCTGTCTTTTCAATAATAACCAGCGTGGGGGGATGTCTCAATTACTGGTACAGCCTTGCTTTGGCTGTATCACATGTCTCTCATTTATACATGTCTCTATACCCACTTTCTTACCCAATTGCTTTTGACCTTAACAGAATAGATGAATAAGCTGATGCCCCCTCCGGCTCAGGTCAAACTCTCCGCTTCAGTGGGTTGATGATTTCCCTCTATCTGCCGTTCCTAACTGACATATCACATCGCGGCATTTGTGTGGTGCTGGGCTTTTCGGAATACGT